CTCCTTCTGCGAGCAAGTTATGCTCGCGAAGGAGACGGCGGAGCGGGACCGGGAGAGGTTTAGAACTCTCCCGGCCCGCCAGGCCCGGGCACGGGCCAGGCAGCGCAGGCGACTCAGGCACCGGAGGTCGCAGAACGACCTTCGTCCTCCATAAGCGCAGGCCTGGGGGTGACAGGTGAGGCCATCTGTCACCCTAGCAGAAGCAGGCCGGGGTGGCGGCGAGCGCGTTGCGAAGCGCGCTCGCTTCCAGGGAGCACAGGGAACATGGGGTTCCCACACGGGGCGGGGGTCGTCTACTCGTCTGTAGATGACCCGAGGTATGTCGGGGCACCAGGGCCTTCCTTTCTAGGGTATACCTGGTTCCCCGGCTATTAGTACCCGGCGAAGGCGTGCGGTTTTAGTCGGTTCGAGTCCGACATGCCACCGACAGGTGGTATCCGAGGGGATTTCCGCACGGAAAAAAAAAAAAAAAAAAAAAAAAAAAAAAAAGGTACCTCGTACGATGTGATCTCAGCTAATCCTACTTATTTTATAATTATAATTTCAATAATAAATAGTTGTGAAAACACTACAAATGACTATAAAACAAAATGAAACCGCCATTTTACAAGCTTGCTTTAAAGCGTCGAAAACAGCGTACACACTTTATTCTGACATTTAGTTCAAGTTCAAATCCTATGAACAGACGCCTTTGAACGTTATAAAATTACCAAAGCATCTGTAAGAAGTGTTTTTTTTTGTAATAGTAATATTGGATTATTTTTATCATAGTGAAGCTCATCAAGAGTTGTGAAGTATGCTTTGATTTATTCTTAGTTATATTACGCAAGTATATTACACTAATCTGAATATTGTTATTTGTGAACAATGTTTGAGACTATAGGTATCAAAATAGCATAGCGTACTTACATAGGGATACATAAAAGATATGTTTAATAATAAAATGGACTTATTATGAAAACTGTTAGAGTAAGAACAACCAAAAAGAGAAAAAAAACCTAATGCTTTTAAAATACTATCTAATATGGGCACAATATATATTATTTGTAATTAAATTTTAAACCTTCGCTTTCAGTACTGTGAACTTGAATCGCAATTGATGGGCAGATTCGAAACTCTCAATCATCATTATAATAATAGAAAGAAGAAATTATAAATGTTTTCCATCTTTTCCTTTCCCATTTTTTAATGACGTTTTGACCTTGAATGACCTCATTAAAAAAAAGTGACCGCCCTGCTTGACGCTTCTTGTTCTATCATAATTCTGATTATGTTACTTACATATGTAAGTAACATAATCAGAATGATGATAGGACAAGGACAGACCAGACAAGACCTAGGACACTTGGATAGCCTATTCGGGTTTATGTAACTCTACACCTTAGATTTAAATAAACTTTATTATCTGAATTATCTGAGAATTATCTGTTTCTTAATGGTAGTGCTATTCAAATTTTCTTTCAAATACATAATTTAAATATCTTATATGTTTCTATTTATTTCGCTTTTGATTATGCCTATAGTTAATAAATGAACACTGATCAATTCTTAAAGTTGGGAAGTAACTCTTTATTATGGTAAAAGGGGCAAACGAGCAGATGAATCACTTCTGATGGTAAGTGATTACCGTTGTCCATGGACATTTGTACCTTTGAGTACAACTACAACAAGTAAGGTGCCGGAAAGTCGAGCATCCGTAACTCACTCAATCTTTGAAATGCACCCAAAGAAGCGCTTTACACGCTTCTTCTATAAGTAAGACCTTGGTATCGGTCGAGTCGTCCTATGGGCCGAAGCATGGCTTTCCAACGAAAAAAATGTTTTATGAGTATACTCACTAGTGACATAAGTACTTTGTGACCACCTTATGTGATGTCACTAGTGACATAAGTACTATGTGACCCCCCACTGCGTTTCTTAGTAGCACAGTGAATGAGCTAACCTACAAACAGATCACAATACCTTGAGCCAACCATTAGCTGTACAGGAAACGTAATCAATTTCCTAAACTATGTTGAATACATATATAATAGTCACGCATTTGTCAGGCATTGTAGTATTTTACTGTGATTCAATTAGCTTATTTAGGTGAGCAGGCATGGCAACATTGACATATGTTTTCATGTTGCCATTGTTAAATTTACGTCGAGAATAAATGATAGTAAATAAATTGATTTGTATGGCGCTTCATTCCTATGTATTATAAAGTTGTAAACATGGCCATAAACAATTGTTGTGTATTGATTAATGGGGTCTTGTTGGAATGTTGCAATCGTACCTACAGGGTTACAATTAATAGCTATGCGACAAATGATGCTGTACCACAACGGTTTGGCTTAACAAGAGCTATACAAATATGAGTCCATTTATGAGTACAACGTATGTGAGTACTCATTAATGGAGTAACAATAAGGTACTCCATTAATGAGTACTCATTAATGGAGTACCTTATTGTTGAAATAATAACAATTTTATGGACAAAGGAAACCCTTTACGAGTTATAGATAGGTTCGATGGATTAAGAAAGATGAGCGTGTCTACAGTCGAACTAGTTTATATTTAGTAATATGTACACGAACAGCACTTTAACATTACAAAACGTAGTATAGACTTCGTTATTAAATATGCACAAAAAAATATCTGGTTTCAATGCAATCGGCTGTCTATTAATATATAAAAAACAAACTATAATATTTACCCTTTAAGATAAATAACTAAATCTTAAATAAAGTTGATGAAGAGAAATATCCTGGACTGATCTTGGACTCACGCATGGAAACCACATATTTCTAAAATTAAAACGAAATTAACTTCTCTTTCTGGAGGCCTACGTTGATGTTTATATGTTTACTGCAAAGAATTTCATATGATATGCATAACACTCTTATAAAACCGCATTTAGAATATTTGACTGAAATTTGGGGCACCGCTGCAAAAACAAATCTAGAATCACTACAAAGATCACAAAATAAATAAATTAAATCGTTGTTCAAATACGATTTCCTCACACCAACGAACATATGTATGTTATAAAGAAACAAAATTATTAAATATAACTCAAACATACATAAAACTTGTATATTAATAAGAAAAATACTCAAATAAAGAAATACACACTCAAATAAAATTCACCAAGAAACAACAATTATAAAAAAATAATTAAGACGCACAAACGACCTCGACGACAAAAAAAATATAACGTACTAAGGTGCGAAATTGTACAACCGATTACCGAAGCATATTAAAGAAGCAAATCAATGCTAGCTTTTAAAAACACTTAAAATGCCATTTAACATATAATCTGAGCGCACAGTAGTAATTCACACGTCACTTCTAGCTACGCTCGATCTGTGTCCACATATTGTTTGTATTGTATGAAAGTTTTTTTACAAGTATCCTGTATATTGTATTTTGTGTATCTTGTTACTAAAATAGCTTAAATTTTTATAACTTTGTGATTGAATGTGTTGAGTATAATGATTTGATATATCAGTGTACGCCAAGGATGAGACTATTATTTGTTGTGTATGTGTTTATACTTTCTCATGTAAGTGAATTATTATTTTCAATTCTTATGATAAATAAAGATATCTCAAGCCTTAGTTAGGTATTCAGTTAAAGATACAATACAATAATTAGCTTCAAACACTTTTGAATTAAACATTCATATTTTTAAAGCTAAAGCCAATAACATTTAAATTAAAAAATCCAAAAATGATTTGTTTGATTTTGTCATCGAAAGACTTCTACTTAACCGTAATTAATCCAGCTTAAGTTTTTCTTAGTTCTTATTACACGACCTCATAACTTTAGATTAAACATGTATAATAATTTTATTTTTAAAATGACTACGAATATTACGATTTTCTAAATTAAAGTTTTTCCTTCATGAAATAGCCACTTTATTGTTATGAAACCTGATCCTGTTAAAGAACTCTTTTATCTTTAACATTCTGGATTAAGCCTACTCAAAGACTTGTATAATAAATAAACGTATAAATTTTGACACCCTGGTCATTTCTCTGGCAAGTTAGGAAAGAGGCTACTCCGGTTTCTAATGACACAGAATTTGCTCAGCCGAGTCCAATCCGGATCGCCCACAACATATTCACAGTCCACCATTCATAAATATAGAACTACACAATTACGCAATTGAGATTAACACATTAATAGAGAACGAATTAAAACGCGTTTAATAAAGATAAGAGATTGCGCGGAAATATTTCTGGATGAAGGTTAAGAAACTCCTATAGCTCCGAGTCTGTATTTCACTATAAATAAGAATCATTATCGTAAACAGAACGCCGTATGTTATCGACACACGGTTTTATTTTATCAGCTATGAAAGTTATAAGTTACATATTGTATAAATTGAACACTTCCAACGTGGTTATATTTTCTGTAGTAGACGTTTGATTAAAATAACTTCTTATAAGGATGTACCCATACTCACATATGCAATGGTATTTGCAAAAGCATTTGCAGTTACTGTTTTGAAGTCTGTTTAACTTAAACAAACCAACCTTTGTTTACTAAAACCTGAAAACTTATTTTGTCACTATTAATATGCCTGTACTTTCCAAGTGAAAAAATATTAAATTACAATTAGTGGGTATTTAAGTAAAGTTTGGAGTATTTTAAAAATCCAGACGATTTTTTGTCTACATTTTAAAAAAGACCGTCAATACTTTTTTTTAATATTTACAGGTGTACAACAAAATATGCCATCTTCATATAGGATTTACTCAAATACTTTAAACAAGAAGAATCAAAGATGAACGTAAAATACATACAAAATTGCCGAAATAATTGCGCAATTTCAAGTCCATTATCTCAGACCCGTAAGAAATATAAAATTGCGCAGCTACAGACTATTTGGGTCAATAATTGTACCGTTTGGCAAGCAAGCGGCAATTTCTGTTGCCAGTCGCGGCAGTCAGCCAGCGGGTTTTGAGCCGATCGGCCGTGTACTCTCATTTGAACGTAAGTTAAAATTAAGAATGGCGTCATCACGAGATCGAGAAGCTTGGTCTCATATATTCAAGTTATATAAAGGTTTCCCACATTTATGGGACAAGAATAATATAAACTATGGCAACAGGAGCATGATGACTGACGGGTATAAGATCCTTACGCGAGTGTATAGAGAGCACTTAGATAAACAGGCATCGGTGGGAGCATTAAGAATGAAAATGAAAAATTTGAGAACAACATATTATAGAGAACTTAGGAAGGTAAGTTATGTTCTCTTTTATTATATTGCACCACAATCTCCTACGTAATATAAATTGTATCTACAGATGAAATTAACTGTCGATTCATTTTAATTTTCAGATAAAACAGGCGAAACAGAAAGGGGAAAAATACACACCGTCTTTGTGGTATTTTGAGAATTTAAACTTTTTGGGAACTTCACGATCTAATATATCAAACACAACATTAGAAGATGATAGAAATGAGGTAAGAAAATGGTTTCTCTTTAATAACAACATTGTACTTTATTTTATAAGCAATAAGATTCATATTTAAACAATGTTTTCACTGATAAACTGTGGATTGTGAAATGTCAGTACCAGTTATGTTTTTCTATTGCACTGAGACTAACACGTGTGTGTAATATAAATTCACACTTAACTCTTAGTTTGAAATCTTTCACTTTAGTTATATGTATGTAGTGCAGTCCTAGCTTTGATTTGAATAGTCAAACACAGATTTACTAACTTCAGTCCTGAAAATGAAGATTCTCTTGGAGACGGGTAAGGCACAACGTTATCGCTGCGATCTCGAAATAGTAACGTTCGTTATTTTGAAACTGTGTCCTTTAAGCAATGGACTATAAGCGTGATAAAGACCTGCACTGAATTTTACCATACGCACTAATTAATATCCGTGTGGTGACGGATTAAGAATACGGAATGTGGCCACCCCTATTCATCCCGTGGGTGTCGTAGGAGCCGACTAAGGGAACAAACTACGCAGGACAACAGCACTGCAAAGGGAAGGAAAACTTGACACAAACCCTATACCAACCCGTTTGGCCAGCGTGGTATAGTAGGCCAAGACCTCCTTTCTAAGTAGGCCTATGTCCAGCAGTGGAGTATTAAAAGCGGTTGATGTGATGTGATCTGACTATTTAGTAACAAAACTTCAGTTTACCCAATAATATGTACAAATATCAAGTATTGATATCAATATAAATTTCATTGCAGGATTCATCTCAAACACAAGATTTAATTATTATGGAAGAAACTACGCCTATAGACGACTTAGCATTAGAAAATGGTGATAGTGAAATGGAACTTGGCTCATCTACATCACATTCAAAAGTTATGAAACGAATAGAAGCTGAAAAGAAACACGATTCTGTCTTATTGTTTGAGACACAAGATCCTTTTACGGATATGAGTCAAAAGAAAACGATGAAAGATGAACATTGGGAGGTTATAGGCAAATCAATTGGCTATCAATTAAAAGAATTAAGTAAGAAACAGTATACGATAGTATCTAAGCTGATATCTGACGCTATTTACTTTGGTAGACTAAATAAGCTGACAGAAGACTCGCACATTGAGACATTTACATCACACTACACACCAGCCAGGAATTATGTAACGAGTTTCCATGGAGTAGACGTATTGGCAAATCATGATCGAAACTCAACACAACAGTTTAAACACGAAGAAGATGAGGATGATGAAGATTCTTGAAGAAAGAAAATTGAATTGGGAATATGTTAGTGCTTGTGCTTGATGAAAATTGTAGTGAACAGCGGAATGTAACACTGGACTTATCATAACTGCAGTAAATCAGAGTATCATTTTACGAGGTAGTTATGAGTACATACGTTAAAAGCATAGTAATTCAATGTCATCAAATAATATAATCTGAAAGTATATTGTAGATATAGTAGTTCTAACCCTATAGTTAGTTGTTGTTCTACACAAGTTATCACTTGAACAACAGTACAGTTTATTATTTGACATTCATACAATCTGTAAAAATTAAAGTAGTTTATTTTTAAATTCCTACACTCTTTTATTTTACACATAAGCTATAACATAAATTATAATTTCAAAGGTCCACTACATCATTAAATCCAAAGTATTATTAAAAGCTGAAGATACTTCCATTGTTTACTTAAAATTTATTATTTATTTACACCAATGTATAATATTTTCAATCATTTAAGATGAGTTAATATTATGTTTACATACATACACAAATAAAACCTTTAAAATTTGACAGCATTATGTATATGTAGGTGTATCATTCAAAATATTTATTTATTTAAAAGATTTAATAAAGCTGGTATTATAATATTAATAAAACTAGTACACACATAAATAATATTTACGAGCTTCAGATGCCGCATAAATTGGATCATAAGTAGTAAAGTCGTAAAATAAATCTTAGAGACAATACTTTGGGCGTTGGTCGACAGCATCAACAATATTTATAATAGGCAGTCGATTAACAGTGATTTGTAAATCATAGTTAAATCTCTAGACTTTTATGGTTAGTTTATTGATACTCAACACTTCGCTATAATAGTCAAAAGAAATATTAAGAAAACTGAGAAACAATAATAGAAAATAAATAACAATGATAACGCATGAACTGAATTAGTAGACATGTACTTAGAGTATTATATCGTTAAATACTTACATTATGAAAATGTAGAACAGAAGCGGCCCTTGAGACATCATGGTGGCACTATCGATTCACATACGAACACTGTAACGAAATATCACTTATTGCAAGATTCTATATGATGATACCACTGAGTCACGGAACCGATTCGGCATTAGATTAAAATTTTTGTTGATTGGCTTCTGATGAATTGTGTATAGATTGATTTTAAGATAAAATAATCATTTTCTATCCTCATGTGATTCCAGACATTTTTCGCAGACACTTGGTGCACCAAAGACCTGTGAAGAAAGAAAACGGGTAAGTTATTCATGTCGGATAATGAATGCAAAAATATCTTAAATATTTAGGTAATGTTTACTGTCACGGACTTTAGGACCGGAATGGCGCCAGTACACAGTTATTAAGCATTATTGTCACTAGATATGGTAATACTATTTCCCTATGTTTATTATGAAGGGGATCTCATAGCTTTATGTGCATATATAACCCTAGAATTCTTTATATATAAAGAGTTATATGTTTTTCATGATAAAAAAAGAAAAATATAAAAACTGTGATGTAAATAAACAAAATCAAAAACAAATAGCTTCAGGACTTATAAAATAAAGAAAACAAAAAAATAATTAAAAAGCTTCCTTTTTATGTGAAAAACAGAATTACAACATTTATCACATTCAAGATTTATCTCACTCATACTTAACTATTATCGAGATTTTCAATATATTGCATGTTTTGCAACATATTTAATAATTTGAAAATTATGAAGTCATTTCCCTTTGAATAACATAATAGATTGAATTCTTATCAAATAAAATTGTCGTAACTTTAATTACTTCAAAAAGTATTCATATTACGTAAATTTGTAATATTTAGTATTCAATATACATGAATTCAGGATTTAAACCTGTCAAAGCCATTAACGTTGTATTAAATTAACTAGAAAAAATACTACTTACCTAAACTACTACTATACTAAACTAGGAAAACTCGGCACAAACCCTATAACAACCCGTCTGGCCAGCTTGGTATAATAGGCCAATACCCTCTTTCTAAGGAGAGGCCTATGTCCAGTAGTGGGCTATTAAAGGCTGTTGATGTGATGATCTAGAGAAATAGGATCAAGTGCGTGAGTGTTTGAACTGTCTGTGTTTGAACTGTCTACAGTTAAAAATAAAGAAAATTCAATAACACAAATCATCGATCAATATCTGACGTTAAAACAAATAACTAGAGAGAATAAATCGTTCATAAATCTTGGCCAAAGGGAATATTCCTGGTTTAAGCACTCAGCGGTTTTACGCTGACGCTATAATTTTATCATTATAAATTACCTTATGACCAATAATTATTCATTTACTAGCCTAATTTACCTTATAATACGAAAACAACATAATTATTGTGTATGCTTTTACAGGGTCATTTGTTAAACTATTATTTATAGACTTTTATTTGAATTAGTCAATGCATGGTCTATGATATCCATAACAACAGGAAACAGTTCAACATACTAAGAAGATCCTTTGGGTGATGTTCGTAATTAAACTTACTGAAAGTAATAATGTATTAACTCTTACAAACCTATGTATAAATGCAGATAACACAAAAAGGTCAGTTAATAAATACGCATTGACAATTAAAATACAAGTACCAATGGACACACCTATCAGTGATTCATAGTTCATTGTTATAGGACGTGATCTTATAACAGTTCAGGTAGCTGTAACACGTAACTGGCATCGTACTAAAAAATAATTAACGACGCTTTTTTACCTATCCAATCGAATTTTTCATGGCTACTTGTATTATATATATACCGAATACTAGATGCAATAAAAAAATTGGTACCAAAGAAGTGAGCAAATGATTTGGTACTTTTGTAAAAATCTTAGCATACTTATTTTTAATAACGGGTTACTTGGTTTGCGGAAAATGTTACTGACCAATAAGAACGTATTCCTGTATATCTATGTTAAGATTGAAGGCTTTGATTGAACCAATAAAATACATAAATTCTGCTGTTTTTAAATATACATTATGTAATAAACTTATAATCTACATATCACCATACGTTTTGCCATAACGTCATGTTTCCTTAGCAAATAGGCATTTATAGAATCATTAAATGTATTTAACATAAATATTTAGTATACCAATTAAAGTGGGTATTATGAGATCACTATTTAAATTGACTTAGTTTTATTGTTAGAAGAGAAGACATTTTTGATAACATATTATATATTTTTAATCCTACAACTACCCACACGCAATTCAGGATACAATCTAAAAGTAATGAAAAGTACTAATGACTTTTAAACTATTGCAGCTGTTATTTGCAATCTTGTCACAGGTTTAAACTATTATTTATTCGTCTGGTCAACATTACGTCTATTAATATTTATATTCATATCAAACAAGATGAAATCAAATTCAATATAGCAGCAATCACAAATACCGATGGGTTAATGGCGTGTTCATTTTTGGCCGATACCGATTCCGTCTAGCTCTGACAAGATCCAGATGATATATTCTGACATGTGAGACTCTCGCCAAGTAATGGCTATGTGAAAATTCTATTTTTAGCTACCCTCAAAATTTCGGAGATACAATTAATATTAGTTTCAGAGCTTTGTACTTGGTTTATGTCATGTACTGAAACACAAATACGCATACTACACTGTTAATGAAAAGATAAATGATTATTTCATACAGTCTTGTTTCAATAAATACTTATCTATGATAAGAATATAAGTCCCGTTTGGAACGGTCGTATTTCTGTGTCATTTCTGGGTGGTCAGTTTCAATTTACATATTCATACCATATTTTATTGTATTAAATACTGCTTTAAATCTAGAAACACTCCTGCTTATGTAATTGCCAATAAAGTCCAAACATCATTATCTATATGTCAAGAAATATATTTATGAGTACGTTAATGAGAACTATTTGATTGTTTTTGTTTTTTCTTTATCATTACTATGGGTGTCCACAAAATACAATTTGGCATGGGTGTTATAAAAACCGTCCTACACACCTAATTAAGTAATTAAGATTTAGTTTTGCCATGCTGTGGAGACTCGAAATAAGAGAAAAGCTCGTGTTGCTCTTAGGATTGTATACTAATTTCAGATAAGACTATAATAAAACTAAACAGTAAAACTAAACTTTTTATTGTAAAAAAAATATTAGAACTAAAACCGGATATTTTCCTTATAAATGATAATATTATACAAAATATATTCGACGGCGTTATTGCCCAACTTTTGAAGACTGGTAATTTTTTTCTCCATGCTTCTATTAAGAATTTAGACAATTGTTGATTAATAATCTGGAAAGTTAAACAAGGTGCTTTCTTTTCTGATCAGATAACTGATAAGTTGTTTTATTTATATTTATTTAACAACATATTGGGTCAAAGAATTTCACTCCCGTAACGTGACCTGTGGGCGATAACAAATCAATATATCTGACGTTTCAATTTGTTTATTGACACGTTTTTAATCTTCTCTCATTGTTTATGCGTTCGGAAGCTGCTTTGAGTTTGTCTTAATAAATACATCTTATAGTACCGAGATATAGTTAATGCTCGAGCTGGCGGCGCCCACTGTAATGACTATAAATCTTCACCTGTCTTTTGTTGGTTATTTTTCTTTTGACTTTGATGTGTATATCAACGAGACGTCCTATTACACGTATTAATCTTGTAGAATCGTGATGTGATGTTTCTTTTTGTTTTCATATGAACACGTCTTTCGTTTCATCGGGTGAACCAAAAGATCCTAAGATATTTGTATTGTAATAGGCAAAACCATTTCAAGTTATAGCCTTACTGAAAATAGCCTAAATAATAATAATAAAAAAATATTTCTATTCTAAAACGTGCAAGAGTGAATAATAAAAAGGTAAAATGAAAATATTACAAATTCTTTTGCAAACGGCCCGACCTAGGTGTGTGACCTGGGTTTCAGGCAGTCGCTTGACTATGATGTTAGTTATAAGCAGTTAATATTTTAAAGTTCTAATGGATTAATATTTCATGTCAAAGATTAATTTAAA